TTGTTCCATATGACCTGATTTGCTATTTCAGAGGATGAGGAGGGGTTGTCTTCATTTAAAAGGGTCCACGCCACAATGCATTCTTTGTAAAATTCTGGAAGAGTTACCGGTAGTTTAGTGTAGTTAAAATTGCAATGAAACAAGAATTTTCCCCCTACTTTCTTAAGATAAAAATCCAGAAAAAACTTCCAGCCAGCGGGATCAATGGAGAGATATCTCTTAATACAAATTATTCTTTGGGCAGAGATCATTGACTCAATGTTGGGCATTTTCAAGCCTCCTTTATCAATAGGGTTAATAAGAGCTCTGCGCTTAACTTTATCTTTTCCCTTCCAAACAAAGGAATATAGCAAAGTATTTATTTTTTTGATAAACTCTTCTTTATTTGAAATGAGAACAACCCTGTATAAAATCTTTGGTATGGCGAATGACTTGATCACTTGAATTTTTCCAAGTAGTGTAAGACCTCTGCAGCTCCAGCCCTTCAGCAATCCCCTCAGAGATTTCACGATTGATTCAAAGTTAAGCTTATAAAACAGTGCGTGATTAAAGGTGAAATGAACCCCTAGGATCTTTATGGCCTTAATTATTTCAGTAACACCTAGTTCTGAGCTGTTTACTTCCATATTCCCTAGTAGAAGAATTTCCGTTTTGTCGTGATTGACCTTCAATCCGGAGTATGTACTAAACAGATCGATAGTATCAAAAAGGGTGCGATGCGAAAATTTGTCCCTAACAAATGATGTCATATCATCAGCGAATATAACTAATTTGATTTCGGAACCATCCACCTCAATACCCTTAATTTGATCGTTATTACGTATGGATAATGCCAATGATTCAAGCACTATTATGAAAAGAGATGGCGAGAGTGGGTCGCCCTGGCGAACACCCCGTTTAACATTGAAAGAGGGGGTGGAAAAACCATTATTGAAAACACAACTTGATATATTATTATAAAACGTCTTGATCCACCCCAGGAAGGATTCTCCAAAGCCAAAGAACTCTAGCGATTTATGGAGGAAGTTCCAATTTAGAGAATCGAAGGCTTTCTCAAAATCAATTGCAGTCATTATACCTTGGTAGTCTCGCATTTTAGTAAAATCCAACACATCGGTTATCGTACGAGTTGCATCAAAAATTGTTCGTCCTTTTACAAAGGCATTCTGGTCATAATGGATAATATGTGGTAGGACATTTTCTAGCCTTTTAGCGATAGCTTTTGAGCCAATTTTAACATCAACATTTACCAGAGAAATCGGTCTCCAGTTTTTTATCCATCTCCTATCTTTGTCCTTTTTCTCAATTAAAGTTATTACGGCTTGCTTTTGCGAATGTGATAATTCACCATGAAAATACGCATAATTTAATGAGTCCACTAGAAATGTTCCGATTTCTGACCAGAAGAACTTGTAAAATTCTATAGTGAGCCCATCGTTTCCAGTAGTTTTATCGTTACTAAAGGTAGACAGAACCTTGAAACATTCGGAATATGGTGCCAAAAGAATAGATTAATTATTCATGAAGGGAAATGCGATGCAGTACTCCTGGATACAAAACCCTTTATTGACCCTCTGAAGCCTTTAGTTTGGGGAGACAAAACCATTGAATACAGATCTTTCTCTGTATGTCTTGGTATAGCCATTGATGAAAGACTCTTCTGGGCCAACCATGTAAAATCAGTCTCTACCTCATACAGCTCTAAAATTAAAATATTAAGACGCATAAGCTTTTTACCAAAAGCCACACTAGAAACAATTTATTACAAAACAGTAATCCCAAGCGTATTATATGGTATGGCTGTGTGGGGCTCTTGCTCAGATTATTTGATGAAAGATCTAGAACTAATCCACCTCAGAGCAGCAAGACTTATCCACAAACTACCAAGAGACATGGAAGACGAAACAGTACTCATAAATGCAAGTTGGATGCATTAAAATATTTTTATTGCTCTCGTATTCTAAATATAACGCATATAGCTTTTTATAATTTAGAGTTAGGTGATATAAATAGTTTAGTTGTTAAGAACGCTTCTTCTTATAGTCTTAGGAAATCGTTAAATCTTGTTGTATCTAGGCCACGAACTGAACAGGGTCGTCGTTCATTTAAACACAGAGCTGCAATTGCCTGGAACTCTTTACCTGACACCATCAAACGGCTTGAAAACCCTCTCTCTTTTAAAAGAAAGTTAAAATCGATCAAGACCTATGTTAGGGACATCAGTTTTCAAAAGGAATGCTCAGTAAATTATAATAAGAACCCCGAATTTAGATATTTTTAAATTATTTGATTAGTCTTTTTATCTTAAATAATTGTATTGTAAATCTTTGTTGTCTTATCTAGACTAGTAGTAGTAGGTCCACATCAGCTGTACAGTTGCTTATTTCAAACCTACTTATCAAATAAATGTATGTATGTATGTATGTATGTATGTACCAACTCTTTCTCCTGTCCTTCTTTACGGTCCAGCTACGTAGATACACTGTCAAGTACATGTTTCTGAATTTTTCTACCCAGCGGAATTCAATGGGGCAAAGAAACCGACGTTGGAAGGCAGCGCTTAAACCGGGAGTTTGAATCCCTCTTCACTTTCATTCTTCTCGTTTTCAGAACTAAACAAGACGCTTGACACAAACGAATACAACTGAAGAAGGGTTTTTAATTTCCTTCTACAAGAACTATAAATTCGGTCCGACATATCCTCGGCTCGTAATATTCTCTTTGCAAGAAGTAAATTAAACGAGCCCCCTCGTCTGCTTTGAAGGCTGAAACAAGTTCTCGGTACCAATCTGATCCCCCTGAGAACCAAACTTGACACACAGACGAACGGGGTGCCAGCTTGGCCTGTAATCAATCAACTTTGTTTTTCGGAACGTCATTTTTCAGCCAATTGTATTTCCCTTCGTCTGGGCGAAGTACAAATGAAATTTTATAAGAGATCGTTGCAAGCGCTCCTTTCCTTTGCCACTCGCGGCTTCGCCGCTCGCGCGCTCTCGCGAGACTCGCTTCGCTCGCCCAAATAAGAGAGCTTCCTCGCAGGCTAAATTATCTATACAGACGATTTTCGAATCCTGGGCAGCTCCATAGAGGATTCAAGAGCCACTTCAACCTAATGCTTGACCTACTACAGGGGCTACGCTTCACCATAGACAGAAAAAAGTCCCGGCTCCTGGACCCCAACCAGTCATTTAGTCATTTTACATTTCTTGGTGTCTCCATAAACTCACTGAGGATGTTATTCAGTCTCCCAGAGAAGAAAATCCTGACCCCACCCCATCGGCTCGCAAAGTGGCAAGCCTCATAAAGACACTGGAGGTTATAAGAGGTTATAGCGGTTAGTATGGGTTACTAGGACCTTCAGGCGGTTACAAGGGGTAACAAGGTGTTACAAGACGTTACAGGGCGTTACAAGGGGTTACAATGGGTTACAAGGGGTTACAGGGTGTTACAAGGGGTTACAATGGATTACAAGACGTTACAGGGTGTTACAGGGGGTTAAGGAGGGTTAAAAAAACTGTTATAAGTTTTTACAAGAGGTTTTAGGGGGTTACAGGGGGTCACAAGGGGTTACCAGAGGTTATAGGGGGTTACAAGGGGGTACAAGTGATTACAGGGCGTAACAGGGGATTACAAGGGGTTACAAAGGGGTACAGAGGGGTACAACGGGTTACAAGGGGTTACAAAGGGTGACAGAGGGTTACAAGGGGTTACAAGCGATTACAAGAGGTTACAGGCTGTTACAGGGGGTTACGAGCGGTTATAAGGGGTCAAATACCTTAAAAAGGTTACAGGAGGTTACAGGGTGTTGCAAGGGGTTACAAGGGATTACAAGGGGTTACAGTCTTTTATATGGGGGTTATAAGGGGTCAAATAGGTTAAAAAGGTTACAGGAGGTTACAGGCGGTTGCAAGCTCTTACAAGGGATTACAAGGGGTTACAGGGGGTTACAATGGGTTACAAGGGGTTACAGGGGGTTACAGGGTGTTGCTGGCGGTTACGAGGGGTTACAGCGGGTTAATGAGGGTTACAGTGGGTGACAAGAGGTTACAAGGGATTACAAGGGGTTACAAAGGGTTACAGGGGGTGACAGGGGGTTACATGAGGTTACAAGAGGTTTTAAGGGGGTACAAAAAGTTTTAAAGGATTACAAGAGGTTACAGGGGGTTAAAGGGGGTTAAGAGGAGTTAGAAAAGAGTTATAAGGGGTTACAAGAGATTACAGGGGCCTACAGGGGATTACTAGGGGTTACAAGGGATTACAGGGAGTTACAGGTGGTGACAAGGGGTTACAAGAGGTTACAGGAAGCTAAAAGAAGTCACAAGGGAATACAAGAGGTTTACAGGGGGTTAAAGGGGGCTAAGAGGGGTTACAAAAGATTTATAATGAGTTACAGGGGCCTACAGGGGGTTACAAGGGGTTACAACGGGTTACAAGGGATTACAGGGGGTTAAAAGGAGGTAAAAGGGGGTTACAAAGGGTTACAGAGGGTTGCAACGGATTTCAAGGGGTTACAAGAGGTTACAGAGGGTTACAAGGGGTTACAGGGGGTTAAAATGGGTTACAAGGGGTTACAAGGGGTTACAGGGGGTTACAGGGGGTGACAAGTGGTTACCAGAGGTTACAGGGGGTTACAAGGGGTTACAAGGGATTACAGGGGGTAGCAGGGGGTTACAAGGGGTTACAAAGGGTTACAAAGGGGTTCAACAGGTTACAAGGGGTTACAGAGGGTTACAAGGGGTTACAGGGGGTTACAAGAGATTACAAGAGGTTACAGGCTGATACAGGGGGTTACGAGGGGTTATAAAAGGTTAAATGGGTTAAAAAGGTTACAGGAGGTTACAGGGGGTTGCAAGGGGTTACAAGGGATTACAAGGGGTTACAGGGGGTTACAGGGGGTGACAAGGGGTTACAGGAGGTTACAGGGGGTTACAAGGGGTTACAGGAGGTTACAAGGGGTTACAAAGGGCTACAAGGGGTTACAAGGGGTTACAAGGGGTTACATGGGGTTACAAGGAGTTACAATTGATTACAGGGGGTTACAGGGGGTGACAAGGGGTTACAAGAGGTTACAGGGGGTTACAAGGGGTTTCAAGGGGTTAAAAGGGATTACAGGGGGTTACAAGGGGTTACAAAGGCTTACAGAAGCTTACAACGAGTTACAAGGGGTTACAGAGGTTTACAAGGGGTTACAGAGGGTTACAAGGGGTTACAAGGGATTACTAGAAGTTACAGCTGGTTACAGGGAGTTACAAGGGGTTAAATAGGTTAAAAAGGTTACCGGAGGGTATAAGGGTTTAAAGGGTTACAAGGGATGACAAGGGGTTACAAGTGGAGACAAGGGGTTACAGAGGGTTACAAGGGGTTACGGGGGGTTACAAGAGGTTACAAGGGATTATATGAGGCTACAGGAGGTTACAGGGAGTTACGAGATGTTACAGAGGTTTAGAGAGGGTTGCAGGGTGTTAGAAGAGGTTAAAAGGGCTTACAGGGGTTGCAAGGGGTTACAGAGGGTTACAGAGGGTTCAAAGGGGTTTTAAGAGGCTACAGGGGTTTACAGTGCGTTTTAAGGGTAAACACGGGGTTACAATGGGTTCCCAGGGGTTACAGGGGGTTACAATTGATTACAAGGTGCTACAGGGGGTTTAAAGGTTCTACAAGAGGTTGGGGGGTTACATGGGTTTAAAAGAGGTGAAAAGGGATTACAAGGGTTTACAGAGGGTTACAGAGGGTTAAAAGGGGTTAATGACGGTTACAAGGAGTTACAGGGAGTTACAAGGTTTTAAAATGGTTAGAATGGGTTACAAGGACTTTCAGGGGGTTACAATGGGTAACAACGTGTTACAAGGGGTTACAGCGGGTTACAAGTGGTTACAAATGGTTACAGAGGGTTACAAAGGGTTGCAGGGGGTTACAAGTCGTTACAAGAGGTTACAAGGAGTTACAGGAGGTTACCGGGGGTTACAATGGGTTACAAGGGGTTACAATGGTTTACATAAGGTTACAGGGTGTTAAAAGGGGTTACAGGTTACAGGCCGTTACAAGGGGTTACAAAAGGTTACATGGGGTTACAACTGGTTACAAGAGGTTACAGGGAGTTACAGGGGGTTACAGGGAGTTACCAGTGGTTACAAGGGGTTACAAGGGATTACAGGGGGTTACAGGGGATGACAAGGGGTTACTAGAGGTTACAGGGGGTTACAAGGGGTTAGAAGGGGTCACAAGGGATTAGAGGAGGTTACAGTGGGTTAGAAGGGGTTACAAAGGCTTACAGAGGCTTACAACGGGTTACAAGGGGTTACAGAGGGTTACAAGGGATTGAGCGAGGTTACAGCTGGTTACAGGGAGTTACAAGGGGTTAAATAGTTTAAAAAGGTTTTAGGAGGTTATGGGCGTTTAAAGGGGTTACAAAGGATTACAAGGGGTTACAGAGGGCTACAATGGTTAGAATGGGTTACAAGGACTTTCAGGGGGTTATATGGGGTAACAACGTGTTACAAGGGGTTACAGCGGGTTACAGGGGGCTAGAAAAGTTTAAAGTGGGTTAAAGAGGGTTACAAGGGGTTACAAGTGGTTACAGAGGGTTACAAAGGGCTGCAAGTTGTTACAGGAGGTTACAAGGGGTTACAAGAGGTTACAAGGAGTTACAGGTGGTTAGAGGGGGTTACAATGGGTTACAAGGGGTTACAATTGTTTACATAAGATTAAAGGGGGTTAAAGGGGGTTAGAGGTTACAGGCCGTTACAAGCTATTACAAAAGGTTACAGCGGGTTACAAGGGGTTACAAGAGGTTACAGGGAGTTACAAGGAGTTACAGGGGGTTACATGAGGTTACAAGGAGTTACAAAGGATTACAGGGGGTTACAGGGGGTGACAAGGGGTTACCAGAGGTTACAGGGGGTTACAAGGGGTTTCAACGGGTTACAAGGGTTTACAAGGGGATACAGAGGGTTACAAGGGGTTACTAGGGATTGCAAGAGGTTATAGCTCGTTACAGGGAGTTACAAGGGGTTAAATAGGTTAAAAAAGGTAACCGGAGGGTATGAGGGTTTAAACGCTTACAAGGGATGACAAGGGGTTACAGAGGGTTACAGGGGGGTAACAAGGGGTTACAAGGGATTACAAGGGGTTACAAAGGGTTTTAGGGGGTGACAAGGGGTTAAAACAGGTTACAAGAGGTTACAACGGTGAGAGTGGATTACAAGGGGTTACAAGGGGTTGCAAGGGTAGAATGGGTTGCATTGAGTTACAGGGGGTTACAAGGGGTTACAAGGGATTACATGAGGTAACAGGGGGTTAGAAGGGGTTACAAAGGGTTACAGAGGGGTACAACGGGTTACAAGGGGTTGCAAGGAATTACAGAGGGTTACAAGGGGTTACAGGGGGTTAGAAGGGGTTACAAGGGATTACAAGTGGTTACCGGCTGTTACAGGGGGTTACAAGGGGCTATAAGAGGTCAAAAAGGTTAAAAAGGTTACAGGAGGTTACAGGGGGTTGCAAGGGGTTACAAGGGATTACTAAGGGTTACAGGGGGCTACAGAGGGTGACAAGGGGTTACAGAGAATTACAAAGGGTTGCAAGGGGTTACAGGGGGTTACAAGGGGTTACAAGTAGTTACAGTGGGTTGCAGGTGGTTAGAATGGGTTGCAAGGGGTTACAATGGTTTACATAAGATTAAAGGGGGTTACAGGGCACAGGCCGTTACAAGGGGTTGCAAAAGGTTACAGCGGGTTACAAGGGGTTTCAGGGGGTTACAAGGGATTACAGGGAGTTAGACGGGGTGACAGGGGGTTTCAACGGGTTACAAGGGGATACAATAGGTTACAGGGGGTTACAAGAGTTTAACAGGGTTACAAGGGATGACAAGGGGTTACAGGGGGTTACAGCGGGTTACAGAGGGTTACAAGGGATTACAAGGGGCTACAAGGGGTTACAAAAGGTTACAGAGGGTTACAAGGGGTTACAAGGGGTTACAAGGAATTAGAAGGGGTTACAAGGGGTTACAAGAGGTTACAGGCGGTTACAAGGGTTTAAAAGGGTTACAAGGGATTACAAGGGGTTACCTGGGGTTACAGCTGGTTACAGAGGGTTAAAAGGGGTTACAGGGGGTTACAGAGGGTTACAGCGGGTAACCAGGAGTTAAAAGGGGTTACAGGGAGTTTTAAAGGTATACAAGGGGCTACAATGGGTTACCAGGGGTTACAGGGAGTTACAAGGGATTACAAGGGGTTACAGGGAATTACAGGGGGTTACAATGGGTTACAGAGGTTTACAAGGGGTTACAAGGGGTTACAAGGGGTTAGAGAGGGTTGGAAAGGGTTACAACAGGTTACAAGGGGTTACAAGGGGTTACAGTGGGTTACAGAGGTTTACAAGTTGCTACAAGGGGTTACAAATAATTAGAAGGGGTTACAAGGGGTTACAAGAGGTTACAGGGGGTTACAAAGTTTTAAAAGGGTTACAAGGGATTACTAGGGGTTACAGGGGGTTAGAGCGGGTTACAGAGGGTTACAAGGGGTTACAAGGGGCTACAAGGGGTTACAAAGGGTTACAGAGGGTTACAAGGGGTTACAAGGGGTTACAAGGAATTAGAAGGGGTTACAAGGGGTTACAAGAGGTTACAGGCGGTTACAAGGGTTTAAAAGGGTTACAAGGGATTACAAGGGGTTACCTGGGGTTACAGCTGGTTACAGAGGGTTAAAAGGGGTTACAGGGGGTTACAGAGGGTTACAGCGGGTAACCAGGAGTTAAAAGGGGTTACAGGGAGTTTTAAAGGTATACAAGGGGCTACAATGGGTTACCAGGGGTTACAGGGAGTTACAAGGGATTACAAGGGGTTACAGGGAATTACAGGGGGTTACAATGGGTTACAGAGGTTTACAAGGGGTTACAAGGGGTTACAAGGGGTTAGAGAGGGTTGGAAAGGGTTACAACAGGTTACAAGGGGTTACAAGGGGTTACAGTGGGTTACAGAGGTTTACAAGTTGTTACAAGGGGTTACAAATAATTAGAAGGGGTTACAAGGGGTTACAAGAGGTTACAGGGGGTTACAAAGGTTTAAAAGGGTTACAAGGGATTACTAGGGGTTACAGGGGGTTAGAGCGGGTTACAGAGGGTTACAAGGGGTTACAAGGGGTTAGAGGGAGTGACAGCGGGTTACAAGGGGTTACAAGGGGTTACAAGGGGTTACAAGGGGTTACAAGGGGTTAGAGAGGATGAAGAGGGGTTACAGGAGGTTACAAGGGGTTACAAGGGGTTGCAAGGAGTTTCAGGGGGTTACAAGGTGTTACAAGGGGTTACAGGGATTTCAAGGGGTTAGAGAGGGTTACAGAGGGTTACATTGGGTTAGAAGGGGTTACAGGGGGTACAAGGGGTTAGAGTGAGTTACAAGAGGTTACAAGGGGTTACAAGAGGTTACAGGGGGTTACAAGGGTTTAAAAGGGTTACAAGGGATATTAATGGGTTAAAGGGGGTTAAAACGGGTTACAGAGGGTTACAAGGGGTTACAAGGGGTTACAGATTGTTACAGAGGGTTACAACGGGTTACAAGGGGTTACAAGGGGTTAGGGAGGGTTAAGAGGGGTTCCAGGAGGTTACGATGGGTTACAGGGGGTTACAAGGAGTTTCAGGAGGCTACAAGGTGTTTCAAGGGGTTACATGGGGTTACAAGGGGTTACAGAGGGTTACAAGGGGTTACAAGGGGTTACAAGGGATTACAATTGGTTACAAGGGGTTACAACAGGTTACAGGGGGTTACAAGGGTTTAACAGGGTTACAAGAGATTACAAGGGGTTACAGGGGGTTACAACGGGTTACAGAGGGTTACAACGGGTTACAACGGGTTAGAGAGGGTTAGAGAGGGTTACAACGGGTTACAAGGGGTTACAAGGGGTTCAGAGGGTTACAGAGGGTTACAAGGGGTGACTAGTGGTTACAAGAGGTTACATAGGGTTACAAGGGTTACAAGGGGTTACAAGGGATTAGAGAGGGTTACAGCGGGTTAGAACGGGTTACAATGTGTTACAATTCGTTAGAGAGGATTAGAAGGGGTTACAGGAGGTTACAAGCGGTTACAAGAGGTTTCAAGGAGTTTCAGGGGGTTACAAGGTGTTACAAGGGGTTACAGGGGGTCACAAGGGGTTACAGAGGGTTACAGAGGGTTACAAGGGGTTACAAGGGGTTGCAGGTGGTACAAGGGGTTACAGGGAGCTAGACGGGGTGACAGGGGGTTTCAAGGGGTTACAAGGGGTTACAGAGGGTTACAAGAGGTTACAAGGGGTTACAAAAGGTTACAGGGGGTTACAAGGGTTGAAAAGGGTTACAAGGGATTACAAGGGGTTACCGGGGATAACAGCGGGTTGCAGAGGGTTAAAAGGGGTTACAAGGGGTTACAGGGGGTTACAAAGGTTTAAAAGGGTTACAAGGGATTACTGGGAGTTACAGGGGGTTACAGCGGGTTACAGAGGGTTACAAGGGGTTACAAGAGGTTACAAAGGGTTACAGAGGGTTACAAGGGGTGACAAGTGGTTACAAGAGGTTAAATGGGGTTACAAGGGTTTAAAAGGGTTACAAGGGATTACAAGGGGTTACAGGGGGTTACAGGGGGTTACAGCGGGTTACAGAGAGTTACAAGGGGTTACAAGGGATTAGAGAGGGTTACAGAGGGTTACAACGGGTTAGAAGGGATTAGGAGGGGTTAGAGAGGGTTAGGAGGGGTTACAGGAGGTTACAATGGGTAGCAATGGGTTATAAGGAGTTTCAGGGGGTTACAAGGTGTTACAAGGGGTTACAGGTGGTACAAGGGGTTACAGGGAGTTAGACGGGGTGACAGGGGGTTTCAAGGGGTTACAAGGGGTTAAAGAGGGTTACAAGAGGTTACAAGGGGTTACAAGAGGTTACAGGGGGTAACAAGGGTTTAAAAGGGTTACAAGGGATTACAAGGGGTTACAGGGAGTAACAGCGGCTTGCAGAATGTTACAAGGGGTTACAAGGGGTTACAAGGGATTACAGAGGGTTACAGAGGGTTACAACGGGTTACAAGGGGTTACGAGGGGTTACAGAGGGTTACAAGGGGTGACAAGTGGTTACAAGAGGTTACAGGGGGTTACAAGGGTTTAAAAGGGTTACAAGGGATTACAAGGGGTTACAGGGGGTTACAGAAGGTTACAGAGGGTTACAAGGGGTTACAAGGGGTTACAAGGGGTTAGAGAGGGTTACAGAGGGTTACAACGGGTTAAAAGGGATTACAAGAGGTTAAAGAGGGTTAGGAGGGGCTACAGGAGGTTGCAATGGGTTACAATTGGTTACAGGGAGTTTGAGTGGGTTACAAGGTGTTACAAGGGGTTACAGGGGGTTACAACGGGTTACAGAGGGTTACAGAGGGTTACAAGGGGTTACAAGGGATTACATGGGATTACAAGGGGTTACAAGGGGTTACAGAGGGTTACAAGGGGTTACAAGGAGTTTCAGGGGGTTACAAGGTGTTACAAGGGGTTACAGGGGGTTTCAAGTGGTTACAAGGGGTTACAGGGGGTACAAGGGGTTACAGGTAGTTAGAGGGGGTGACAGGAGGTTTCAAGGGGTTACAAGGGGTTACAGTGGGTTTCAAGGGGTTACAAGGGGTTACAGGGGGTTACAGAGGGCTACAAGGGGTTAAAAGGGGTTAGAGAGGGTTAGAAGGGGTTACAGGGGGTTACAAGGGGTTTTAAGAGGTTTTTGAAGGAGTTACAGGGGGTTACAATGGGTTACAAGGGGTTATAATGGTTGACAAGGGGTTACAGGGGGTTAAAGGGGGTTACAGTGGGATACAAGGGGTTACAAGGGGTTACAGGGGGTTACAAGGGGTTACAAGGGGTTACAAGAGTTAGAATGGGTTGCGAGGAGTTACAGGTGGTTGCAAGGGGTTACAAGGTGTTACAGGGGGTTACAAGGGGTAACAGAGGGTTACAGAGGGTTGCAATGGGTTTGAAGTGGGTACAGGCCTTATAAGGGGTTACAAAAGGTTACAGAGGGTTACAAGGGGTTAGAAGAGGTTTCAGGGAGTTACAGGGGTTTACAGGGAGTTACAGGGGGTTACAAGGGGTCACATCGGATTACAACGGCTTACAGCGGGTAACAGGGGGTTACAAGGGGTAGAAGGGGTTACAAGGGGTCACAGGGGTTACAAGCGGTTACAAGGGGTTACAGAGTGTTACAGGGAGGTTACAAGGGGTTTCAAGGGGTTACATGGGGTTACAAAGGGTTACAGGTGGTTACAATGGGTTACCAGGGGTTACAGTAGGTTACAAGGGATTACAAGTGGTTACAAGAGGTTACAGCGGGTTACAAGAGGTTACAGGAGGTTACAAGGAGTTACAAGGGGTTACTGGTGGTTACATGGGGTTACAAGTGTTACAAGAGGTTACAGGGAGTTACTGAGGGTTTTAATTGGTGAGAAGGGGTTTTAGGGTGTTTTGAAGAGGTTACTTTGGGATATCAACGGGTTACAAAGGGTTACTGGAAGTTACAAGGGGTTACAGGGAGTTACAAAGGGTTACAGGTGGTTACAAATCGTTACGACGGGTTACCAACGGTTAGAGGGCATTTTTAGGAGTTTCAAGGGTTAGGAAGTTGTAGGGGTAATAGGAGGTTACAGGGGGCTGTAAGGGGTTATAGGGGGTTACAAGGGGTTACAAGAGGTTACAGGGAGATACAGGTCCGGGTTACAGAGAGTTACAAGGGGTTACAAGGGATTACAAGGGGTTACAGGCGGTTACGAGGGGTTACAGAGGGTTACAGGGGGTTACAAGGGGTTACAGGGGGTTGCAAAGGGTTACAGGGGGTTAGAAGGGGTTACAACGGGTTACCATTGGTTACAGTTGGTTACAAGGGATTGCAAGTGGCTAGAAGAGGTTAGAGGGGGTTACAAGGGGTTACTGTGGGTTACAAGAGGTTACAGGGAGTTGCAGGGGGTTACAAGAGGTACAAGGGGTTTACAAGGGGTTTACAAGGGGTTACAAGGGATTACAAGGGGTTACAGGGGGCAACAGGGGGTTACAAGGGGTTACAAGAGGTTACAAGGTGTTACAAGGGGTTACAAGGGATTACAATGGGTTTTAGGTGGTTACAATGGGTTACGAGGGGTTACAGGGGGTTACGGGGGGTTACTAGGGGTTACAAGGTTTTACAGTTTTTTACAAAGGGTTACAGGGGGTTACAATGGGTTACAATGGGTTACCAGGGGTTCCAGTTGGTTACAAGGGATTACAGGTGGTTAGAAGAGGTTACAGGGGGTTACAAGGAGTTACAAGGGGTTACAGGTGGTTACATGGGGTTACAAGGGTTACAAGAGGTTACGGGGGGTTTTAAGGGGTGACAAGGGGTTTTAGGGGGTTTTGAAGAGGTTACATTGGATCACAACTGGTTACAAAGGGTTACTGGAAGTTATAAGGGGTTACAGGGAGTTACAAAGGGTTACAGGGGGTTACAAATCGTTACGACGGGTTACAAACGGTTAGAGGGCATTGTAAGGAGTTTTAAGGGTTAGGAAGTTGTAGTGGTAATAGGAGGTTACAGGGGGCTGTAAGTGGTTACAGGGGGTTACAAGGGGTTACAAGGGGTTACAGGTAGTTACAAGTGGTTACAGGGGTTTACATTGTTTAACAAAGGGTTACAGGGGGTTAGAGGGGGTGACAAAGGGTTACAGGGGGTTGGAAGGGGCTACAAGGGATTACAGGATGTTTCAAAAGGTTCCATGGGGTTACAAGGGGTGTCAAAGTGTTACAGGGGGTTACAAGGGGTTACAGAATACAACAACAACAACAACAACAACAACAAGTTTATTCGGTATTACCATTTGTTACGGGTGTTACCGAGTAAAATATCAATAATAAACAGCTAAGTTTAAGGAAATACAGGTATGATGGAATGGTAGAATTAACTATGTTTCTTTCGTCTTTCATATGCTTGAAAGATGAAATTAGCAGCTAGCCTGCTAATATGTGAATCAGTATTGTTAAAAAGAAAACAAACTTTATCATGGATATTGTAATGTGTAAATAATGTATTTCGGTCGTTGATTTTAATAAAAAGAGTCTTTCTCAAATCATTGTATTGATCACACTGAAATAATATGTGAAGTTCATTTTCAACCAAATTTTGGTTGCAATGATCACAGATTCTAAGGTCTTCAGGAGTTTTGGGGATTGTAAATCTTCCATTTTCTATTTTTAAATTATGGTTTCCTATCCTAAATTTGGAAGCTACACGCCTATGTTCAGGATTCCGGATATGATTGATGAATTCAGAGTGATTTGTTTCATCTTTAAAGATGGAGTAGAATTTTAGTTTTTTATTTGTTCTTATCAAATTTAGGTAGTGGTTTTCAGATGTTTTGACAAATTATTCTCAGCTTTGGATAGGAAAGTAGAATGGTTTTTAAAGTTAACTGACTGTTTATGAATATTAAGTTGTGTACTCAAAAGATTTATTTTATTTATTAGACCTGATTTATTTTCTTCGGCCATTTGATACGATATGTTTAAGCAGAGTTTAGCGATGCTGTCAGGGGGTTGATTTTCGAGGTGAATCCAAAATTTCAAAATGTTCATCGTTTTTTGTAAATTTAGAGATAATCTACCAAGTTCATTTCTCGATGCAACATTCGGTGAACGTTTGTTTAAACCTAAACACATCTTACAAAAATGTATATGCGTTTTCTCAATCAAGTCTTTATCCCAGCGGCTATAATCACTTTTATCATAGATTCCCCAAACTTCAGAGCAATACGTTAAAATTGGGAAAAATAGTGTATTGAACAGTTTGTTGATGATGTGAATTGGTAATTTTAGAAAATCTAGATAACGACGAGCGGCAAAAAAGGATTTCTTTGCTTTTTCTGTTAAGTTTTCCTTGTGATTTGTAAAATTTCCATTGGCAAAAAATTTCACTCCAAGACAGGTATAGTTATTGACGATTTCAATGTTTTAATTGCTAACCATAAAATTGTGTTTATCTATTGCTGATTTTCTTCTTTTCTTCTGAAATACAATAACTTTGGTTTTACTTGGATTAATCTTAAGAAGCCAATCCTGACAATATTTTGATAGTCTGTCAAGAGTTTGTTGCAAACCTTCTGCCGAGGTAGATATTAGAAGTAAATCATCGGCATAAAGTAGACAGTTTAAGTGAGAACCATCTGGTAGTAAGATAGAATCTTTAGCATTGTTATTTAGAATGAAGGGTAGTTCGTTTAGATAAAGGTTAAATAGAAGCGGCGACAGAATATAGCCTTGTCGTACACCTTTATCATAGTTGAAAAATTCTGATCGAGTATAATTGTCTTTCACACAACATATTGAATTTGAATATATGCTGGAAATTATTTTGTAAAAGGAGTCACCTATGTTATATTTCAACAGTTTGTATAGTAAACCTTGGTGCCAAATTGAGTCAAATGCCTTTTAATTTTAAAATCAACAAAACAAGTATAAAGTTTACCTCTGGGGGAGTGGGTAACATGTTGGTCTATTAATGTTCTTAAACTGAAGATATGCTCAGACGCACGATGTCCGGGCACAAAGCCAATTTGGGAGCGATGAAGTATTTTATGATTGTTTGAAAAGTTTAATAATCTCGTATTTAAAATAGAACAAAAGACTTTGCCAAGACAACTACTAATGCAAATACCTCTGTAATTTGAAGGGTCATCTTTGTTTCCAGATTTATGCAAGGCAGTGATTATTCCATTACTCCATGATGTAGGAAATGTTCCAGATTGTAGAATCAGACTAAAAAGTTTCTCAAGTGGATATTTTATAAAGCTTGAGCTTGTTTTAAGCATTTCATTGCGTATTCCATTAAGTCCAGCAGCCTTCTTGTTTTTTTGTTTTTTAATTGCTTTATCAATCTCTTCAATGGATATTGGGTTGTCTAATTCCGATTGTAAATGGTTGCTGTCATCGAAACGCTTTTTATCGTTTAACATATCATGTGTATTTGAAATGCCGATAATGTATTAGGATCAGGTGCTGAGTGTAGCATTTTAAAATGATCATAAAGTTTATTGGTTGGAGCGAGCTTTTTAGGTCGCGAAGCGGCCAAGCAAGCGACAAATTCGCCACCGGTCCCGCGCCATATAAAAATCGGACGAAGGACTTTTTTGAAAGTCTATTGTAGCGGGAGAGCAGCTTCAAGAAAAACTCCAGGAAGCGGTTTGTTGTCGATTTTTCCAGGGAAGTGTCGAACTTTTAGAAAATGTATCGAGTAAAAGTTGGCTTGGCTCAAAATGAAAACTGCCCGTCGCAAATAACTAAAGATGCTTTCTCGACAACAGAAGGATCGAAGAGAGCAGAGCGTTCGAAATAAATTGTTCATCTGTTGTTGGGTTTCCTTTGTAACCTTTTCCTGCTGTGTCACTGTTGTTGTCCCTTTTCTGGTATGCATCAACATTGACAGCTTTGGTGTTATAATCTGTTATAATCTCGTCAAGGGCAATACGCCGCCAAAAATCTTTCCCCCCTGTTTTCTCGAAATGAAAATCAGAGCAAGTTGAGGGTACGTTTTAAACTCCAAGTCGGCAACTCGTGAACCAATTTGGCTGAAATGTGGCCAACTTACTCTCAGATAGTTTTTCTAAAAAACCGTGTCTGCGAATTTTGATTTCTTTTTTCGTTTTCAAGTAAGAGTATTTTTTTTCACAGGTAGAGCTAATGATTTGCTATCCCTAACTTCAACTGCTTATAACAAAAGAACAAAACCACTTGACAAAAATCTGAGACGCGGTTTTTTAGTCAAACGTGTTAAGAAGCGAATGCGATCTTAATTGGCTTCTTCCGTTTATTTTTGCCTGGCCTGGACTTAAATTTACAGCGACACCCACTTTCACAAAAAGCTTCTCATTTCTGAATCGCGTTAATATTTTGATTTTTTAAAAGGAAAAAGCAATAATCTGGAACTATTAAGTTTTCAGAAAATGTACGGTTTATGGGGGTATTTATTAAAAGCAAAAGCACTAGCGCCGATCAACGCGGGGAGGGTGCTTAAGGGTGGATGATACCTTCATTCATATGAAGGAGATGATGAGAATCAGGCAAGTGAACTGTCAAATATAATTAGTGGATGCAAGTAAACAAGTGATATTCAACAACAACCTGCTAACAGCAACCCCAATAAGGATAGACTACCCCTTCAAGCCAGTTCTTCCAGCAACAGTTTCAGTACCATCAACAACTTAACAGGTACAGTGAATTTCTATGGTGCATTTTCTGGCTTTCCAGGTGTATGCCAGTGCCAGCTCACCAAAGCACAGAGCCACAACGTACTTGGAAAAGGATCAGAGCTTCTGTACTCTCAGACTCAGATGAGGACTAGCTATTGCTGACTGTACAAAAACTTTAAATTTACACCTTTCTTGTATTCATTGTAGTTTTGCACTTTTTTAATGTGTGTGTTTTGTACAGACTAAAATAATTAATTTTATTTTTTCTGCACTTTGTTAATTGCATTCTTTTCTTAATCTTTCCCATCTTTATTGTGTGTGTTATTTTTTTACACACTTTTATTTCTTGATATTGAAAACTGGATAGTTTCAAAATAATGAAATTCTAAATTTTTTGACCTTAAAGTTTTACAGTATTGTTATATTTATTATATGTATTAAATTCATTTGTGATAATGAAATTCATTTCTATTTGGACTACGGCATGTATTTAAAAATGAATTGAAATAAAAAAATTATTACGATCTCAGTCTGTTTTTTATCAGAGACAGTTCCCATAGTTTTCCTTGCGAAGCTGTATTTCCTCACTAGCTATATAATTAATAAGTAAGAGGACTACATGCTTGTCCAATTTGGAAATAATTGGATTCAAAAAATTCCCCTGACAGCCAAATTGGGACGAGGTCGTAATTTTGGCTGTCCTCGGAATTTTTTTCATCCAATTATTTCCAAAGTGGACAGCATGTAGTCCTATTACATAAACAAATCATGCTATTACCTATACTAATTACTTGAGGATTATAGCCCGGGATATAGAGAATACTGCATGGATGTTAAATTCTAAAAATGATGTTAAAACTGCACTGCCTTGGATAATGAATTTTGAAAATGGTGTTTCAACACTTTTAAAAATTATAAAATGTTGTGGAAGATGCAAAAGTAGTCATAAAGCTGATAAGATGACAAAAGCGCCGCAAAATCACATAAACTGTAGTGAAATGTTGAATGCGATTCAAGAACGTAAACGATGTAATAATCCCGTGGCGGAATATCACTCCATTCCAACAATTAATTGGGGATCATTTCGGGGTCGAGGTGAAGAGAAATGGAGATCA